GTCATGGTCACAGGGGCAAATCCAGGCTGTGGAGGAACTTGCTTGCCCATCCCAGGAGGTTTCAGTGTAGACCAGGCACATCCTTTTCTCTGGAGTGGGGTCAAGTGTGGAGGGTAGCTGGAGGAAATGCACAAAGGTGTGTTTTACCAGCCCGGTACCTGAGCACAGTCTTCCTGTGTAAGACTCAATCTGAAGTAAAATAGGTACATCTAATGTGGTTTGCAAGTTTTTGGGAACAGCACCAATGTTCCTCCTTTCCTAGCCACAGGGAGCCCAGGAAAGCTGCTTTGCATTGCCCAGCAAGAACCAGTGCCATAAAGGATGGGTGAGGAAGGAGAAACAGGAGGATCTCCTCCCTCCAGCAGACACAGGGAAGATGACAGACATTAATTTCAGCAGTCATTGGCTTTGCCTGCATGTGCCTGTAAAGTCCAGCAGAAAGACCTAAGAAGCTGGCGTGGGTCTGGGCAGATAATGGAGCTTCCTTCCAAAGAGGCTGCAGCTCTTTGTTCCCAGGAGCTGCTGTTACTCATGGAGCTTGGAGGGAGTGTCTGGATCTGGCTCTGATTAGCACTTCGGGGTCCTGATCTCCACCAGTGACAACTGCTGTCATTCCCACGCTAGGAGTTTAACTGAGATCCCTGTTTAGGTCCTTCTCCAACACCTTCCTTCTTAAGTGCTGTATTACAGTAGTGCTCGTGCTGTAAATAATGGCATGATAATAATCAAGAGGGCTGTTTAGCAAGGTTGGGCTGTGGTTGTGCTTGTCCTTCTTGGGTGCATCTGGCGTTTTTTTTGGGGTTTGAACAGGACGGAAAGTTCTCTAGCAGTGGACTGTGGCTATAAGGAGCATGGATCATTAGCAGTGGCCGTCAATAGATACTTTTCCTACCGTCCTGCCAGAAACTGATGAACTGTGTTAACAAAAATTCAAGCCTGCTAGCCATGGGAAACAAGCTTCCTGCTCGTCTCTGTAAACGTCAGCAAGCAGGGAGGTGGTGTACCCACACACCCTGCACCCACATGTGTGTACACACACCCCTGTGGGGACCTCACACGTGTTCAAAACCTCTGGAGCACAGAAGGACCCAGGCTGGGGTTTGGCCCAGGTGCAGGATGGTGCGTGGACTGCTCTGGGTAGTGGCTGTCAAGGACAACAGGCAGGAACAATTTGCAGCTTCCCAGAAACCGTGCTTGGTATTTTGCTACTCCATGCCCTTTCTATAGGGGCAGCGTGACAGGTCTGGAAATGGCTCCTGCTAGAGAGCTGCCTCTGGCCAGCCTGGAGCACCAAGCCCTCAACCCCAGGGCAGAGGACAGCTCACTCTCTGCTGTGGGTATTTTCTGCTTCTCAGGGCTCATGGGCACCTGCGTTAATTAGGACATCAACAACACAGCTCTTCTGGCCTGACTTGCGTCAGGAGCATCTGCAGATGCTAATCCTTTCTTTGGGTCCTCCACGGGCACCGCAGCATCAGCTCAGGCAGGAAGCTCTGAGCTGAGTTCAGGCTTCTTGCCTTGGCTCTCGTGTCTCCACAGCCTCCTCGGCCCTGGAGGTGGCTACAGCCAAGGTCTCACCTCCAGGCTAGCCAGGCATCCTCGGCTTGGCCAGCAGCGTCCTCCTCGTGTGTGGCCAGCTAGCCTGGGACCGCTGCTGAGCAGTCACCTCCTCTTGAAGAGTGGGGAGAAGGGCTGGAGGTGTGAGAGCCACTTGTCTCCAGCTTCCCAGTGTCCCCTGGCTGGGGACGGGGCGAGCAGGGCTGTCCTGCCTCTGCCTGGTGCCCGTAGCTGCAACGCTGAGAGGCAGCGTGCTCTGCCTCCGCAAGGAGCCGTCAGCCTGAAACCCAACCGCCCGGTTGGCAAGGTGGACGGGAGTAGGCGAGAAGGGGCTGTGTGGCGGGCCAGATCCTGGCAGCAAGGGAGGAACTCCAGCCTCCTTCCTGAGTCCCAGACAGGCACAATTAGGGCTCATTCGGGGAAATTGGACGTCGCTCCTGCCAGCATCTCCTTGGGAGCGGAGGTGCAGCAGTGCCAGCGCTGCCTGCCACGAGCCAGTCTGGAGGAGCAGAGGGAGGTTAATGAAGGAACTGGTGGGTGAGGACGGGCAGGCGGGTGCAGCGGCTCTGGAGATGCTGACGTGGATGTCTGGTCCCGGCTGCAGCTGCATGTTGATGTGGCTGAGCCGGCCAGGAGGCGAAGGGGGCAGACTCTGGGTGCTGTCCACCCCAGCTCTGCCTTTCCTTCTCCTGTTGGCATTGGGAAGGTCCCTCACCGGCTGCCCAGACCTTCTCAGGAGTTTCTATGTCAGAGACTTCTGCTCTGCAGTTTGTCAAAATTGTCTTGTTAGTATCAAAATAAGGAACAGCTTTGTTGCTGAAGGAAACTAAGCCGTTCTATGATTCCATGAAATTAGGCTATAAAGAACATCGGAGGGTGGAGAAAAGGGATCCCTCCAAGGCATTCATGGGGTTCTCACGGAGAAATGAAGACCCAGACTAGACACCACTGCTGAGCAGCTGATGGAGAACTCCTACCACAGCCATCCCTTGTATTGCTGCTTGAGCAGGGAGTAGTGTGCTGGCAGGGCGAAGAGGTTGGTAACAGGGTTTTTTTTGGCCCTGCAGGAAGCACTGGGCTTGGGCTGGGAGCTGGGCAGCTTCCAGGGCACATCTCTGCTCCCTCTGCAGAGCACTGGGCTCCTGTGGCTCCCATCTCCCCTTGTCAAATGGGCTCAGTGTTAGTGCCCAGCTCTCGGCCCACTCGGGCTGGCTGGCAGCTTGCAGGAGGCAGAGAAAAAAGGTGTTTGCAGAGGTTGAAGCTGCTGACTGTCCAAGCCACTGCAAACACCCCCGATTGCACCACAAGTCCTGGGGACTGGACACCTTGTGCTGTTTTTTGGCTGACTCCTCGCTGCCCTGTCTTATTTGTTTGTAATTTTAGGTTTGTTCAGGTAGCCATGCCTCTTATATTTGTTATTGCAGGTAATGAGCTGTGACCCTCTCATGTTATTGTAGGGATTGCTGTGCCTCCTCTCCTGCTTGTAATTACCATAGGGCAGCCCAGGGAGGTGCCCTGGCTCTGTGTCTGGCCCTGGCAGTCAGTGCCAGAGGGGTTTCCTAGGACAGATCACAGCATTGCTGTGGAAGGGCTTAGTCACTGCAGATCTCTCCAGTCTCTGTTCAGAACTTGGACTGCTGCAACCTCTGTGGCAGAGGATGCCCTTCTACTGCACTTCGTATAGTGCAATTTTCTGCAGGACAAGATCATTCCCAAATTAACAGATTTCTTCCCTATTCCTTATTTCATTCCCTTAAAATAGAGGAGCCCAAACTGTGGGAACCTTTGAGTCCTGCAGCAAGAAAAAAAAATGAAACATATGAGCATCATGGGGCAAAATGGCAAGAGAATCCCATCCTGGGGATAGGTGACAGTCCCAGGGATGGTGCCTGGGACTCTTTACCTTGCTGTAGGTAGTTAGGAGGGTGCTGAGCCTGGGATGCTGACCCAGCTCTGTTCTTGTGGAAAGAGGAAAAAAAAAAGGCTGCTTCAGTAAGTGGCTGTGGAAAACTTGCCGGTTTTGCTGTGAGAGGGCAGGTCCGCCTTAGCAAGGAGGAAGAGGAGGCTTGGGGCCCAGAGACCAGCCTGTCCCTTTGGCCATCTCCAAGCCCACCCGGCTGGTAGGGGACATGTGACAGGCCGGTGCTGCCATCTGCTGCTGAGCAGCGCATCCATCCTCCCTCACCAGGCATCCCCTGGGCACCCCTGGGGTGCATCTGAGCTCCAGGGAGCAGCTGGCCTGCAGGGAGGCTCCTGTTTCCTTGCTGGGGGTGGTCAGGGGAGCACTTATCAGCTTTTATTTTCATCCTGATCTGTATTCTTTTGTTCCAACAGTGATGTTGCAAGGAAGGGCAAAATTGGTGCCCCGCTGTCTTCACTGTAGGGATGCAGGAGGGCATGAGCTGGGTTCACTGGCACCAAAGTCATAGGAGATACCATGCAGGGAAGGATTCCAGGTGGTTCCTCCCACTGTGGTGGGTTCTCCTGTGCCTGCCTGCTGGCCCCAGCACAAACCTGGTGTTAGCACAGGGCTGCTGGGTTCCTGCGACTGGGATACCAGCAGCCTCATGAGCTTTAAACTCTATTCAAATTTAGTCCAGAAATAACCCTTTTTCACGCTGGTGGCTCTACTAAATGTCACAAGTCATCTAAGTTTAGACTGTCACCAGCTCTCTCCTATATATAACCACACAGGGCTCCTGGCTGCATCCTGCCAGCCCAGGTCATGCTGGGGTGGCCCAGGGGCCGCGTAGGAAGGTGACTGCAGTGGGCAAAGTCTAAAGTGAGGCTCTGCTGGCTGCTCAGTGGGTGCCAGTGGACGGGAGCTGGTTCAGGCCTGTGGGCGTGGGACTGTGGGCTGAGGAGCCCGGAGCTCCCAGCCCCTGTCAGCTGCGTTGTTGGTATCACTGCCAAAGTGACTGCCCAGCCGTTCGGTGGTTTTGCTGTGGGATTGACCTTCACTTTGGAGTTGTCTCATCTTCGAGCATCCCTGGGTTTTGCTCTTGCATCTGCAAGGCAGGGTAGGGTGTGAATTTGTCACTTAATCCTCTCACCGTGACTAGAGAGGCTTCTCTGCCACATGTTGTGTAATCTGGTCCTTTCTGAGTTTGGGATAAGCCTCTCACCAGTCCTTCTTCACTGACACACAACAAATGACGGTTGCTTTTTATATAGGAGCCCAACCTGACCCCCAGATCCTCCATACCCTCAGACACCTTCCTCTCCTGAGCTGTGGGAGCTGGCTTACATGAAAGCCATGCCAAGTCCCACATAGAGGCATAAAGCCAGGGCTATAGGCAGCAGCTGGGAAAAGGATTTCTTTAGCCATTTGTTTCCATCCTGCCTGTTGCAAAGATGTCATCTGGGGCAGGAGGCTCCCCGTGCAAAAGCAAGCCCCAGTCAGCTCATGGAGACGTGACGGTTTGGTATTCCTGCCCTTCCAGAACGGGAGTCCCGAGAGCATGAGGAGCCAACCACGTCAGAGATGACAGAAGAGACCTACCCACCCAAGTCCTACCGGCCCAAGCATGGGCGCCTCTCCGAGCTCAAGGCTGAGGCCCTGAAGAAGGACCGCCGGAAGAAGCTGACCCTGGCCAAGTTCGTGGGCATGGCAGAGAACACGGCGCACCCCCGCGTCGTCATCCCCGAACTCCGGCAGGAGTTCGAGCTGGTGAGCGCCCTCACTTTCCCTCCACAGGGCTCCCGCGGGCACGGGGCCGCAGGAGAGCTTTGCACCCCTGGGGAGCAGATGCCATGGGGGACATGGGGACATCTGGAGCTGGAGACTTGCTGCAGGGTGCTCCCCTCCTCACGCTCTATCTTCTCTCTGCTCGCAGGGCCCCTGCCGCAGACACATGGAGGCGTCCCTGCAGGAGCTCAAGAGCAGCCAGCGAATGGTCCCCCGTGCCGTCCACCTCCCCAACTGCGACCGAAAGGGCTTCTACAAGAGGAAGCAGGTAAGAAAGATGCTTCCCATCCGGGGAAGGTCCACTGCCTTGGATAGAAAGGATGGAGGTTTTTCCTCTATTGGGCTGGTGGGGAGGTTGATCTAAGCATCTCCAAGCACAGTTGGTGGTGGGTGACCTTGTTGATGGCTCCAAGTGCTGTCCAGCCTGAGGCAAGCATCATGAATGAGCTGCTGTTGGAGGAGGAAAAGTCAGAGAGCCCCAGGCTGGCATAGCAGTGGGGATGGAGATATGCTAAAAGCAGAGAGTAGGAGCTGGGTCCTACCCAGGGGATTGTATTGCTGGGTGAAAGGGGCAAAGCTGCTCCTGAGCGCCAGCACAAGGGAGCCAGGCAGCAGCTGGTGGCCATCTCCTGATCTTTGCCCTCGGGTGTCTCCTCAGTGCAAGCCCTCCCGAGGCCGGAAGCGTGGGTTGTGTTGGTGCGTGGATAAATACGGCATGAAGCTGCCGGGGACTGACTACCTGAGCGGAGACCTGCAGTGCCATGCATTCGACAGCAGCAACGTGGAGTGAAGTCACATCCCCCCCCTCTGCCCCATCACTACCTACCCAGGCTCCCTTCCACCCTCCCCTCTGCACCTCCCCGTGCCCCGGGACTCCGATTCCTTTCATCTCATGTAAGAAGGAAAAAAAGAAAGGAAAAGAAAAAAGAGAAAGGAAGGAAAAAGGAAAAAAGAGAAAGGGAAAAGAAAGAAGTTAAAGAGAGGAAAAGAGAAAAAGCAAAGCAAGCGAAAGAAAAGGAAAGAAAAGAGAAAAGAAAAGAAAAGAAAAGAAAAGAAAAGAAAAGAAAAGAAAAGAAAAGAAAAGAAAAGAAAAGAAAAGAAAAGAAAAGAAAAGAAAAGAAAAGAAAAGAAAAGAAAAGAAAAGAAAAGAAAAGAAAAGAAAAGAAAAGAAAAGAAAAGAAAAGAAAAGAAAAGAAAAGAAAAGAAAAGAAAAGAAAAGAAAAGAAAAGAAAAGAAAAGAAAAGAAAAGAAAAGAAAAGAAAAGAAAAGAAAAGAAAAGAAAAGAAAAGAAAAGAAAAGAAAAGAAAAGAAAAGAAAAGAAAAGAAAAGAAAAGAAAAGAAAAGAAAAGAAAAGAAAAGAAAAGAAAAGAAAAGAAAAGAAAAGAAAAGAAAAGAAAAGAAAAGAAAAGAAAAGAAAAGAAAAGAAAAGAAAAGAAAAGAAAAGAAAAGAAAAGAAAAGAAAAGAAAAGAAAAGAAAAGAAAAGAAAAGAAAAGAAAAGAAAAGAAAAGAAAAGAAAAGAAAAGAAAAGAAAAGAAAAGAAAAGAAAAGAAAAGAAAAGAAAAGAAAAGAAAAGAAAAGAAAAGAAAAGAAAAGAAAAGAAAAGAAAAGAAAAGAAAAGAAAAGAAAAGAAAAGAAAAGAAAAGAAAAGAAAAGAAAAGAAAAGAAAAGAAAAGAAAAGAAAAGAAAAGAAAAGAAAAGAAAAGAAAAGAAAAGAAAAGAAAAGAAAAGAAAAGAAAAGAAAAGAAAAGAAAAGAAAAGAAAAGAAAAGAAAAGAAAAGAAAAGAAAAGAAAAGAAAAGAAAAGAAAAGAAAAGAAAAGAAAAGAAAAGAAAAGAAAAGAAAAGAAAAGAAAAGAAAAGAAAAGAGCTGAAGAGAAAAAGAAAATGAAAAAAAAGATGCTAAAAGAGAAAAAAGAAAGAAAAGGAGAAAAACAAACCCTGAAGAAACTGAGGACTCGGAATCTACAGCAGCCTCTTGACAACAAGGACTTGACAAGGAAAGGATAGAGCCAGAGCCAAACCAGCCACGGCCGTTCCACCATCCTGTGTCTCCTCACACCTCTCCCCAGTGCCACCTGTGCCCCCTTGCCATGAGCAGAGGCCACCCTGACGTAGGAAGCTCTCAAAGTTGACGATTTTTCCCGTATGGGTTTTGGACAGATTAATTTTTTGTTGTTGTTGTTGCCTTTGGGATAGCTAGTTCTTTTCTAAAGGGTCTCAAGAGAAAACCTTGTGGCCACCAGCATTCCTTCTCCTCCTCCTCACTGTAGTCCTCTGATGTCTTCTCCCCACATTGCTGGGACTCACTTGAGTTCATTTGATTTGACTTCAGTCTCAAACGACTGCCCCAGATCCAGGCAGATTCCAACACGTCAGAAGGAAGAGTGGGACTGCTGGCTTCATGTCTGGAGATGAGCTGGGGAAGGAAACACAGCTCCTGCGACAGCATGAATACTCCCTCAAACAGTATTTGTGGACTTCAAGAAGAGACCATCCAAAAAGCAAAGATGTCCTTCTCCATCTGGTTCTTCTCAAACAGGAGGTCAGAAATCTTTCTGCACAAGCAAGACTCTGACTGTTCTTCATCCAGGTGTGGAAGTGTTTGTTGCCTCTGTGTGTGTGTGTGTGTGTGTGCGCACACAGATGTGGCTTTTCCTCCATGCAGAACTTCTGGAGGGCTTAACTCTTAAGCAGGGGCCGAGACGCTCCCCCCGTTCCCCGATAAGAATAATCTGCCAGACTAAGCACGGGAGCAGAGTTAGGGAGGAGCATCGGTGCCTGCGGGGTCAGCCTGCCAACACTGCGGGCTGCACCCAAGCCCACCCTGCAGATACACCATCACTGTCCAGGCTGAAGCACCCCTCTGTGTGGACAGGAGGACCAGGGCCAAAACTCTTCACCCCTTGCCACTTAAGGAAGACCAACTATGGAGATTTTTTAATTTTTTTTTTTTTTTTCACAGCCAAAAAAGTGGTTTGCTCCAGGGGAAAAAAAACCCAAACCTATACTTTGTTTTGTCTTGGCTTTTTCTTAAGGCTGGTTTGTAGCCTTACCCATGGGCAGGAAAACACCAGGCTCCATCCGTTTGCATTGAAGATACTGCTCATGTTACCACAGCTGGTTCCTGCCACCCTATAGTGAGATCCTGCAAAAGACTTTTGCCTTTAACCTGGGACTGAGCTCCTTATTGAGTGACAGCAGCCACTACACACCACAGAGACCCCCTGCTTCAGGCATGCTAGGACAGCCCTTGGCTGTCTTCCTGACTTTTTTGTTGTTTTTAATTTTTTACATTCAGCTTTGGGACTGTTGCCTCTCATTTCCCCATGACAAGGGTCTCCAGGACAGTAGTGCTGGAAGGAGATCCTGCAGCGAAGGAAAGGAAGGCAAGCCATGGGTTCTGGGTTCTGTGGTCATAGTGGTTAAACACACACACTGGGGACTCATCCCATTGCCACAGATGGAGACAGCAGCTGGTGCTGGTCAAAAGGACATGGCTGATCTCAGGGGGAAGCTTTCTGCACCCTCAAAGCCCTTTGGAGCATTCTGGAGCTGGGCAGAGAGGAACGGGGCTCTGCAGCACCACTGGATCCCTGACAACAGGGATGGGACAAGGGGGAAATGATGCCAGGGGGGTCTGGTGGAGGGTCCTCTCCATCACTGGTCAGGCACCCTCATAGCCTCTTACGGCATGGCACCACTCCTCTGAGCAGCATGCAGGCCCCCCCACCAGGACGCTTGCTCCAGTCAAGGGCAGGATTGGATGCCCTGTGGTTATTTCCCTTGGAGTTACAAGTAGGGGCTAGTTTTGCCGATGGACTTCCACAGAAATCTGGTAGGGCATGGGACGTGGCATCTTTCCATGCTGAAAAGAAGGGAGAGTGCCACCAAATGGAGATCTGCCCCCAGAAGGACCTGCCAGAGTGGTGTGACCCCCATGTTGGGTAGGGAAGCACCGCAGTTGGTGGTGTTGGGGGAGAGGCCCCTCAAGGCTCTGCAGGGCTGATGGAGCAGGGTTGGTTTGACCAGGATGATGGGTTAATGGTGGGGTGAAGAATGGGGTAAAGAAGGCAAGTGGAGGAGGAGGAGAAGGAGCCTGTACCAACCCAAAGGGCCACAGGTTGCCGTTGTCTCCCATCCTCTCCACTCACCGATCCCTGTGCAAAACCTCCTGACTATTACAGGCCAGTACCACCTTCCCCAGGACCCTTCCCTCCTCCTCACTCCTTCTTTCTTGCTTTTTTTTTTTTTCATTTGTTTTGTTGTTTGATTTCCCAAAACTTGAAAGCCTTTGGCTGCAGAGAAAGGAGATGTGCCGCTGGGGCAGGATGAGAGCAGGCAGAGGGATGGCAGCTCCCCATGGACCTTGCCTTCCAGGGCTGACACTTTTGCAGCATGAGGATCAGCTCACAGGGCCCAGTGATGGTCTCATGCCGTGGCCGCCACAGGGATACTGAGAGGTGGAATAGGGCACCTGCCTGACTGCTCCCTACAAAACGAGTCTCAGCCTTGGCCGCAGGAGCTCAAAGCACCAAAGCCCATCCCACACAGCTCCTTTCCGACCTGCACACCAGGGATGGCGCTGCCCGGCCTGTCCTCACCGGCCTGGCAGGAG